CGTACGCGAGCGCCGGTTCGAGTCACTCACGCAGTACATATTTACTATAATTAGACATAGTCTTTACCTTGCCGTTTATTCAGTGTTATTTGCTTACTTTACTTCCTATGTCGACAGCAACTATGAGTTTAAAATCACATTATATAATGTTTTGTAATGTAATTTGTAAATAATCCGATTGCTGTATTACTGAAAATTATTTCGATTTTCTTGTAGAATCCACCAAACTTCCTAATTGCATCTGATTACAGTAGCCATATTAGTCCAGTGGTTGTTATGGCGACCCAGGATGATGATGTGGACAGCATTATGACGCCAGATAGTCCGCCGTCTGTGAGTAGCAGCAGTAACCAAAGCAGAGTCAGTATCATTTCACTTACATTTCAAACTCTTTCACCCCTATCTGAGAGTGGAATCACCTATTCATGAATATTCATTGGTGAACATGTAGAATGATTGGTTAAAGATTTCAGTATGAAACATTTGTTCAAATTTTTGAAAATATTAACCACAGATTGATTTTTTTTGCATATACATAACATATCATTGGTTTTTGGTCTTCCAGTCAAAAATTATTTTCTGAATGATAACAAAAATGAAACATTCTATTGTGTTTTCCTGTAAGTGCCTCAAAAAACTTTTAATTTTAACCAAGTGTTCTTTCTGACTCTGATGGTGGTGGTGAAAATTTATTTTTTTTGTTTTAAAATAAATTTTAGAAATTACATTTTGTATACATTAAAATATCACATTTATTGCAGACTCCAGTAGATAAGATATTAGTTGTCCCACTAGCCTTGGAATCTGTATAGATATCTTTGTTGTTTTTGCAGACTCCCGTAGATGAGACATTAGTGGTCCCACTAGCCTTGGAATCTGTATAGATATCTTTGTTGTTTTTGCAGACTCCCGTAGATGAGACATTAGTTGTCCCACTAGCCTTAGAATCTGTATAGATATCTTTGTTGTTTTTGCAGACTCCCGTAGATGAGACATTAGTTGTCCCACTAGCCTTGGAATCTGTATAGATATCTTTGTTGTTTTTGCAGACTCCCGTAGATGAGACATTAGTTGTCCCACTAGCCTTGGAATCTGTATAGATATCTTTGTTATTTATTGCAGACTCCAGTAGATGAGACATTAGTTGTCTTCGGACAGAATGTGGATCTATTTTCAGATGAGACCAAACTTTGCAAACTGTTTGGAGATGATGATTTTGCGTCACAAAATGGACAGTTTGGTGCATCACCACCACCAGTTCCACCTCTACCTGTGAAGGACGAGAGGTAGGTATTATGTTTCATTAAATCTCACCTGCCTTTTCTATATTTACATATTTGAAGGCATGACAGTCAATATAAAAAAATGACAAAACACAATTGTTAGTCAGTATTAACCATAGTTCAAGGTCTGTATTGTGGTACCTGTTGAATGAACTGTGTAAACTGTGTACATGTAAACTGAATTTACCAAGTCTGAAAACATATCAACAA